TAAGGATTCCAATGATCAGGGGAACACAGAAACAGGTGACCATTCGATGCACCGAACCGCGCCAGGAAGAACCGACAGATATCTGCTAATCCAGAACAGTTTCCCGCAGGCCTGACAACGTTTCCTTTTGTGGGCCATGTGCCATCTGGATTTCCTTTGCGGGCGGGAGGAAGGAAACAGGGAAACACAAAAAGAGGTATACACTTTAGACCCACTGTCGGCAAGGACCGACTCATACATCTGGCGCTCCATTTATGTTTTCGATGCGTGGACCCCTAAGGAGGTGTGGACATTTTCCCTAGCGCTGGCGAGTCATCATCAGTCGTCTTTTGAAGGTCCCGGAGCCCGTTGAGGGCCCCATGAGGCTGAAAACAGCCCCAAACCGGCCATTCCAAGAGCACTTGCTGCCTCGACCGGCCGGCAGAGGAGCTCGTCGGGGCCCACGAGGCGGACCCGCTGCTCCTGTCGCTGAGCACGACCTGGCCGCTCGCCTGGGCGGAGCTGGCGGCCGACCTGGCGGACGCCCGGGGCGCCGTGGTGCTCCCAGCCCTGCGGTCTGCGGCGGAGATGAGGCCCCCGTGGATGGGCACGATCGGTGTGGGCACAGAAAGAAGAGGTGCGCGAAGACCGACAGCAGGTTCTGCCCATTTCGAATTTTGTTCGCTGCCGGCGTCGTCGCAGACGTTGTCGATCTTAGACAGGAGGCCGCCTGCCCAACAGCGGCCGCTGTCGGTTTTGGGCAGCAGTTGTTGTTGGGCATTGTGCTCGTTTTGTCTGTGCCCACTTCGCGCGTCCAAAGTGACCACGCGCGGGGGGCAGCGGCCAGGTGGTGGATCCGAACCCTGCCCTCGCCGATCAACGATTCAGGCAGCTCTATTGACGGCGGAGAGAGTGTTCGGACTATGTCGAGCACGCGGCGAAATCAGAACCCCACCCCCACCTCAGCATCGATTCGGGAGAATCAATGGTGAGGCCGTGGTAGGGTTCGGATGTTGGTTCCTTCAGGGGCAGCGATAGGGGGGGATAGGCAAAGGGGGGAATGCATCGACCCCCAATCGCCCAATGATCGCCGATAGGGGCCCGATAGCCCCAACCTGCCCAGGGAGGTGCGGATTTACGATCGGAGGCCTATCGCCGATCTATCGGCGATGTATCGCAGATTCCAGGTCGATGCATCCCCCCCTATGCCAGTCCCCCCCTATCGTTGCCCCTCCCTCCTAGGGGCGCGCGAAAGGCTTCGACGTTCGAGGTTTATCAGTGTTCGTCGGTTCTCGGCGGTTCCCAGCCTCGGGACGCCTCCCTGCGGCTGCGCCTCGTTTTGAGCGTTCCTGGGTTGCCCGAGTCGTCCACAACGGCCGCCAGGGAGCGATTTAAGGGCCAGCACGTCCTTCCCAGGCTAGCTCGCGTCGTGAAACAATCGCGACGGACGATTCTTTGGCCGTCTAGAAACGACACGGGATGGGAAACCGGTCCTTCAGGAAATGGGTCGGGTTTTTTGGGGGTCGGCGTTTTGACATAATCATGACGTCGGGGGCCATGGAACTGCGAAGGGGCCACAATGTCTGGTGGCCAGCACTCCCTCCCCAGACCTCTCCAAACAAACACAGTGATCACGGTTTTCATCGCTTTCGGTCTCCAGGGACCCTTGCAGGCCGCCAGGACCGTCAGGATGAAGAGCCAGCCTTGGGGAAAGGGTACGTAGGGGAACGAACAATGACATAAACATAATAACAGAACTCGGCGGCCCGCGCGGAGTTCAGAATTTTTATGCTTATGTCATTTATCGTTCCCCTCAACTCTTCAGCTGATGTCTGAGTCTCGCGACAACCCATGCAGGCGTCAGGTTTGTGGCGGTTTTCGGACTCCAGAGGGGGGGGGGCTGCCCGGCTCCGTCATCGGCAAAACGGCTCGGGATGAGAAGTTGGCCCCCGAGGAAGGGGCCCGCACTTCCGGGACTTGCGGGGGTCTACGCTGCGAAACATCACGACGTCGAAGGTTGGGGAACGGTGCGGTGACCACACCATTTTGTGAAACAGCGAGGATTCGGGGTGGGTGGGCGCACGGTTTTGGGACCCTGTGGATCGCTCCCAAGAGATGTCGCTGGCGCATGGGGCCTCCAAGGTCCCTGAACTTTGCGGTGACGGGCCCGTGCGGTGAGGTCTTTTGGGGTAGCGAGGTCGCCGCAGGATCTGTGACTGCAACGTTCTGGGATCCCCGAGAAGTCAGGAACTCCGTTGATACTGGCCAGCGCGATCCCCATCCCCCGCTCTCGGCAATCCAGGGGCGGCTTTCGGGCGCAAGGTCACTCAAAGAGAATCCGGGACAATATCATCGGTGCCAAGGGTGAGGGGTCGAGACCTTTGCGGCCGGCAGGCTGAAGACCAAAGACCAAAGGCCCAACCCTATGCAACTGTGGGGTCCTCGAAGTAGATGGGAGGGAGGAGAGGGGGACCAGCAAAATGGCGAGGACGTGGACGAGGCCACAGCACTTGAGGGGTGCGCTGATATGGGGCGTATGCCCACCGGGGGTCGGTGGAGCACCCTGTGGGGCCGCGAAGCGTGCGAGGGGTGTGCAGAAATGGCCGGGGCGCGCCGTGCAGACGCCCTCACTGGTGCCCTAGGCGGATCCCCTCTATGGTGCCACGACACGTTTGAGGGATGTGCCGAAATTGGCCTGCGGCAGGGAGAAGCCGAATGCGGATGAGGAGGAGGAGGAGGAGGAGGAGGAGGAGGAGGAGGAGGAAAAGGGGGGAGAGAAGGTGGAGGCGGGTGGCGCTGCAGGTTAGGAAAGACATGTGTTTGCCCTCTTGGCCTCGGGGCCATCAACAACAAACCCTGAATGAAAATTCTGCCCTAGGGCAGGATTCGAGAAGTTTTGGGGCCCACGTCACGAAACAATCGACGCCCCACCCCCTCATTGCAAGGAGGGATACATGCCGATACCGATGTCCCTCGTCGGCCTCCTGGGGGGCCCTCTTTCTCACGGCTGCATTCGCCCTGGAAACGCGCCTCGAGCGCATGGAGATTTTGGGGTCCGAACGAAGAGAGTTATTGGAGCTTTTTGTCGGATAATTTTCTTTGCCAGCACCAGGGGTGCTGGGGGTCAAGGGGGGCAAAAAGCACCCCGACCTCAACAATTGGCGTTTGCTCGGCAGTCTTGGGCGTTGGCGGGACAGCCCTGCCCGGTTCGAGTCCCTCCTGGGTGCACTTGCCACAGGGATTCGCCTGCAGGGGTGCTTTTCTTGGAGGGGGATCGGGCTGCTGGGTGTGGCGCGGGCCCTCCGCCAGGGCGAGCGCTGGCCTGCAGCGCGGCGACCTGCCACACGAGTTCATCGCTGCCCTGGCCGGGTGCCTGCAGCACCCCGACGCGGCCGTGCGCGACGCCGCTGTGGGCACCATGGCTGCGCTCGGGCTCCACGGCGACCAGCCGCTCCTGGCTCTGGTCGTCGAGCTCCTGGAGCACCAGGACCGCACAGGCGGACAAGGTGCCGATACTGCTGCCCTTCCCCAGGTTCCACTTCTGGCAGCTTTCCCCAGGAGGCCCTCGGCGCCACGGCCGGATTCGCCTCGAACTTCTGGCCAGAGCGCGCCCCGGGAGAACGCACCCCGGGAGAGAGGTCTGGGGAGCAGCGGTGTCGGTATGTTCGGGTGTCCCCAGGACAGGGACGTGCGGCTTGCGGCGGCGCGCGCTCTGGGACAGCTCGCCGCCGCGGGCGATGAGTGGGTGGCGAACGCCGTCGCGGCCCGCCTGGGCGCCGAGGACGTGCTCACGCGGCTGGCCGCCGCGCATGCGCTGGAGGCGGTCGCCGAGAGGGGCGGCGCGGGCTTCGCGGCGGCGCTGGAGGCCCGCCTGCGCGACCCCGACCGGGACCTCCGCCGCCACGCGGTGCGGGCCCTCGGCCGGCTGACGGCGCCGGGCACTCCGCGCGCCGCTGAGGCGGCGGCGCGGGCCCTGGAGGACCCCGACGAGAGCGTGCGGGAGGCCGCGCTGGAGGTGCTGGCCAGCGGCGGCCCGTGGGGCTCGGCGGAGGGCGTGGCCCGCCGGCTGGAGCACGCGCGCGAGGCTGCGAGCAGTGGCGAAGCGGCCTGGCCTGCCCCGTGGGCTCACCAGAAGTCGTTCTGAGAACCTTGCTGTGTGTGTGGCTTTGAAGGAATAGCCATCGGCGGCGAGCGAGGGGGGGAGTGAGCAGGAGAAGGCCTTCTCGGGAGGCGGCGGGGCTTCTCAGAAGCCCTCTGGCCTTTGAGGAGTTGTTGGCGTCTTCGGGGAAGGCTTAGACAACTTCTCATAAGGCCCGGGCTTATCACTTCCCCCCCTCGCTTGCTGCCTAAACTAGCATGTCAGTATTGTTTCAGCCGACTTTGTGGATAACTGTAGATAACATCGTTTGCGCTATCAGAGCATCCTTTTGTCCCAAGAACATGCGAGCGACGAACAAAAAAACAGGGTCGATTGCGCGGACATTGTTGCGTAAGCTGCCCGCGTAAGGTCGCGCGGAAGTGCCTTCGTTCCCACTGCAGCGTGCGGGCTTGGCGGCCCGCGCGCGTAAGCCACCGCGTAAATTCGCCCTGCCATCTCGCGTAAGACCCGTTTCTTTTTCGTCGAACGTATCGTGGTAGGCCTACAGGGATGCCAGGACGGTCGGTTCCTGCTCAACGAGGAGGTGCGGGCGGCGGCAGCAAGGGCGCTGGGCGCGGCGGCGGCGCGCGGGGACGCCTGCGCCGTCGAGGCGGCTTGCTCCCAGCTGGCACACGGCGACGTGGACGTCCGCGCCGCCGCGTGCGCGGCGCTGCGAGCGGCAGAGGGCAGAGGTCAGCATCGTCTCACAAATAGGGTCAGGAGCATGTGCCTGGCGTGTCGCAGCTGCGGCCCCAGCGACACGCTATGCCAGGGGAGCGGATAGCGTATCGCTCCGCTTCGCGGGGCGGGAAGCTGGAACAAGCTTGGGACGCTGACGCTCGGGGACCGCGATGTGGATGGCGTGTCGCGCTGGGGCGTGGTGGGCCAGAACCGGCGCCGCGACACGCTAAACGAAAGCTCCTGACCAGATCCCCATCCCCACTGGGCCATACTGCGTATCCAGAATCCCTTCGCGTCGTGACAACATCACGACCGAAGCTTTTGTTGTCATTGTCAGCCTTTGGCGGCCCTGGCCGGCCCCCGTGGGCCGCCAAAAAACGACCCAGGATGCAAAGCAAGTCCCGAGGAATGGGTCGAGACCTGTGGGGGTCGGCGTCGGCGTCGTGAGCAAAAACACGACGTCGTGGGTCTGGGGTCTCAGCCCCACCGGCCCACCCCCTCTGGGGGTTGGGATGGGGCCCCACGAAGCCCGAAGGGGCAGGCACACATCCCCCCTCCCCAGGTTGATAAGCCGGCCAGTGGGGATAGGGAGCGGTCCGCCGATGCTCGAGAGGGGACAGGCGCGCGGTGAGCCGGGCGATCGAGCTGTCCTCGCACCCCGCGCGCGACGTCCGACTCCTCGCAGTTCAGCTGTTCGGCGAGTTCGCGGGGGGCGGCGATCTGGAGGGAGCGGAGGCAGCGTTGGTGGTCCTCACGGAAGACTCCGACCCCGACGTCCGGGGCGCAGCTGTGCAGTCCCTCGGCGTCGCCGCACACGCGGGGAGGGAGCGCGGCAGAGGAAAGGGTTCCTATGCCGCTGCCCTTCCTCCGTTTTCGCTTTTGGCGGCTTCCTTGGATGCCCTACGGCTGGATTCGGCTCGATATACTGCTCAGAACGCACCAGCATCGCGAAGCAGCCCAGCGTCAAGGTGAGGAAGTGACGAACGACAACGGCAATGGCTGCCAGGCGCAACCAGCGAACAGTGCCCTCGCCGCGGTGGCCTCCTCAGCGCTGGGGGCGCTGGGGAGGCATAGCGCACCGGTAGGGGAGCAGCGGTATCGGTACCCGTTGCCGAGGAGCAAAAATGACACACACACACATTATTCATCTTGCGGAGGTCCGCGCGGATTTCTTGGATGGGCGCTGGACCACCCTCCCTGGCGCGCGGAGCGCGCCAGGGGCGGCGCCGGAGACGCCGCCAGGGCCAGGGTGGGGCCCTGCGCCGATCCAAGCAACCAGCGCGGACTTCCGAAATAATCTGCTTATGTGATTTTGGTATTCCTCGCTTTTGGTTTCACGAGGAGCGGGTCGTGTCTGCAGTCGTCGCGCGGCTGCGGGACGACGTCCCTTCGGTCCGCCAGAGAGCCCTGTGCGCACTGGGCGCTGTTGCCGAGAGGGGCGACGAGCATGCGGCGCTAGCTGTGGCCCGCTGCCTGGGCAGCGCCAGTGCTGGCGTGCGGCTGGTCGTGGTCCAGGCGCTGGTGAGCGTGGCTGCTGTCGGGGCGAAGCACGCCATTCTTCGGCATGGTTGAACCGATCCCTATCCCCATCCCCATCCACATCTCGAGCCCCACCGTCTCACCGCCTCAGTTGGAGGTATGCCCCTCGAAACCCGAAGAGAGCAGCCTATATCCTCATCAGGGGGGCAACTCGGCCAGTGGGGCCCAGCCCACGTTAGTGGGGATGGGGATGGGTTTAACGATGCTCAGTTCTCGGGGAAACGTAAGACTCGAGTGCGCAGGAGCTCGGGGTCGCCGACGCTTTTGACGAGCGCGTCCTGGATCTTGACGGTCCAGTTGTCGTGGCATGTCTGCAGCGGGAGTTCGCGTAAAATTGCAGACCTGGGTCTCGTCATTCTCAAGATGGCCCCGTTAGGCCAACCCGAGTCCCCCGAACCCGAGTCTTACGTCTCCCCGACATCCGAGGAGCAAAAAGCGGCATGAGCATGGAATTGCGGAGGTCCGCCCAGATGTATTGGATCGGCGCTGGGCCCCCCTGGCGCCGCCTCCCGCGAAGCCCCGGGCGCGCTCCGCGCGCCACGGAGGAGGGGGTAGCGCTTATCGAAGACCTTTGCGCCGACCTCCGAGAGCCGAGAGTTTATGTTCATGAAGTTGTTCGATCCTCTAGCCATAGCAGCGCTCAGTACGTGCTTGGACGACGAGGACGGCGAAGTTCGACATGCTGCAGCGCATGGCTTGAGCGTCGTGTCTACGAAGTTTGACGAGTACACCTGCGACGCCCTGGCTGCCCGTTTGCCCCAAGGTGCCGGCACCGCCGCCGCCTGTCACGCAGCGAGCTCGGCCCTGAACGCCCTCCACATTGCGTGACGCTGTTGCAGGTGACCTCGAAAGAGAAGCTCATCCGACCTTCATCCGTGTATAGTGAGCTGTTAGGGATGATGCGCTTCCGCACGGCAGAGTGAGCTTAAGCGTTTTGTGTGTGTGTGTGTGTGTGTGGTTTTATTTTTATTTATATCTATATCTATCTATATATATATATATATATATATATACACACCGGGGAACGGGACCTGGGGCCGCCAGATTGGTGCCTCGGACCCCCATGGGGGCCACGGGGCTCACTTCCCTATGTTTTTACAGGGTTTCGGCGTTCCAGGGCCTCCGAGGGAGGCCGCCAGGAGTGGACCTGCGCCCCCTGGGGGCTCTGGGGCTCACTTTCCCTGTGTTTTTGCCAGGTTTCCGCGTCCTGGGCCTCGGAGGCCGCCGCTTCCGACCCCCCGTGGGAGGACGGGGCGGCCGGGGAAGCCCAAAATAGTCCAGGAGGGCCTCCAGAGGCTCCCAAGACGGCCCAAGCGGGCCCCGAGTCGCCGAAAGACCGCTCCAGGACGCCCAAGATAGGCCCAAGACGGCCCGAGAGGCCCCCCAAGGCACTCCACGACGCTTCAAGACGCCTCTCCAGAGCGCTTCAAGAGACCGAAATCGTAAATTTTACGAAGGTTTTCGTACGATTTTGGCCTTCCAGCCTTTTCGGCCGTCCGACGTCCAAGACGGCTCAATAGGCCCCCAAGAGCGCCCCAAGAGGGCCCCAAGAGGGCCCCAAGACGGCCCCAGAGTCGCCCAAGACAGCCCAACAGAGCCCCAAGACGGCCCCAAGATGCGCCCAAGAGGGGGACCGGGGGACCACGACTCCAAAATTCGACCCTCCCGCTTGAAGAGTGCCCCAGGAGGCTTCAATTAGCCCCCAAGAGGCCCCAGGAGGCCCCCAAGAGGCACCCAGGAGGCCCCCAAGAGGCACCCAGGAGGCCCAAACGAGGCCTAAAGAGGCAACAAAACAGCCCCGAGGAGGCCCCACAACGGTCCCAAAACGGCTTCCGAGAAGCTGTGAAACTGCCTTCACGACGTCCCCGACAGGCCAACCACGAGATCCAAACCAACACCCATGAGGCCTCTGACCCACCACCCAGGGCACGGCGGCGGGAGCAGTGACAGCACTTGTGCACAGCATGTTCCGGCGGGAGCCTTCCGGAACACGCTGCAGGAGGAGGAGGAGGAAGATCAGGAGGAGAGAGAGCTGGAGTGGGAGGAGGAGGAGGAGGAGGAGGAGGGGGACGAGGAGGAGGAAGAGGCCTCCAAGACAGCTCCAAGATAGCCGAAGAGGCTTCCAAGAGGGCACTGGGCGGCCCACGAGGGCCCCAAGGCGGTGCCTGAGGCGCCCAAGACGGCCCGAGAGGGCCCCAAGACGGCCCCAAGAGAGGCCCATGAAGGGAAACACGAACTGAGAATCCGAGCTTCCTACCCAGAGAGGTTCTCGGGAAGTCCCAAGAGGCCCCCAATCGGATCCAAGAGGCTACCAAGAAGCTCCCAAGAGGGCCGAGAAGGTTGCAAGAGATCTCCCAAGGTGGCCCCAAGAGGCACAACTCATTGTTTTACGATAGGGCTTTGACGGGTTTTAATGTTTGTCGGCCTTTTGGCATCCCGATGCTCCAAGACGGCTCAAGAGGCTTCCAATACCGATCCAATATAGAGGAAGAGGGCCCCAAGACGGCCCGCGAGGGCCCAAAGACGGTGCTTGAGGCGCCCAAGACGCCCCGAGAGGGCCCCAAGAGCCCCAAGAGAGGCCCAAGAAGGGGAACGCGACCCAGCAGCAGAGCGTTCCCCCCAAAAGGCCCACAGGAGGCCGCAAGAGGCCCCCAAGTGGTCCGACGAGGACCCCAAAAGCTTCCCGAGGGCCCAAAAGGCCCCTAGGAGACGCCCAAGAGGTTTTAAAATAGCCCCAGAGTGCCCTCGATGCGTCAAAACTGCTTCCAAGAGGCCCCCGGGAGGCTTCCGGATTGCCTCAATCCGGCCGCAGGTGGCCTCAAGTCGGGCCTGCACGCAGCCAAGACGGCCAATGACGGCTTCAGATTGCAGAGCCGATGCCCCCAAGGGACCCTCAGACGCCCCCCCAAGAGGCACCCAAGAGGTGCCTCCAACAGCCAGTTGACGAAGCATGCGGAACACCCCAGAAGCTCCTCAGATGCCGTCGCGCGCCTGTGCTTGATAGCGTTGTCCAAGATCGTCCAGCGCCCCCCCAGCCTGGGCTAGAACCTGAGCGCGCGCGAAGCGCGCGCGATGGTTCTAGTATATGAACACGTTTACGGTCAATGTGTGGGCGAAGGGGTAATGAGCGAACGTTGGCCGCATCAGAATGCATGGCAGCCTTTGTGGCTCAGGGCCTGGGAGGCCTGGGATGCTCCCTGCTTGCGCCACCGCGCTCTCCACCGCCCCGCGGGCCCAGCGGCCTCGGATCTGCGGCTGGTGCGCTGGGCGCCTCGCCGAGGGCGAGAGTTTGGCCCTCGCGGAGGGCGGGACGTTGTTGGAGGTGTGCGAACTGTGCTACCTCCTCGCACTGGCGCGCCAGGGGGCGCGCGAGGCGCGGCTGGCGCCGCAGGAGCGGGCGCTGCTCGTCGAGCAGGCGCGGTTGCTGGCGGCGCAGATCACGGCGCTGTCGACCTTGTCGCCTGATGCCGCCTAAGGCCAAGGGCAAGGCCAAGGCCAAGGCCAAAGGCAAGGCGAAGGCGAAGGCCCTTCCTGCGCCTCTCGCTGCCGCCCGCGGGCGAAGCGCTGTCCGTGGCGGAAGACGTGGCGCTCGCGGGCGCGTTGGCGCAGCTGCTGGAGCGGCAGGGGCGCCCGTCGGCCTCGGAGGCGGCCTCGCGCCCGCAGCTGGAGGTGCAGCTGGCGGGGGGGCTGGAGGTGGCGCTGCTGGGGCGCCAGTGGTGCCGGGGCTCGGCGGCTTCCATGGCCTGCCTGGAGCCGTCGGCGTGGGCGCCGCGGGCGCCCCCCCCCCTGTCCTCGGGGCGCCTGGCGACGGCGCGGGTGGCGGCGGCGGCGGCGGCGTTGAAGCGGCGCTGGTTGGGGCGCTGGCCGCTGCAGGCGCTGGCGGTGCTGGAGGCGCGGGCGCGCCGCCTGGCGCTGGGCCCGCGGGGCCGGGCGCTGCCCTCGGCGTGTTGGGAGGCGCGGTCGTCCCGGCTGCGGGGCTGCAGCTTGGCGGGCTCGTCGACGGGGCCTGGACGCAGGCCTCCACCCTCATCGGGGCCAACTGGAGCCAGGGCCTGGCCGTGGAGCTGCCGACCCACGAGGCGACGGGGGCGAACAGTGGGACCGCGCTGTTCGAGATCGATGAGGTCGGTGTACCAGGTGCTGGAGGTCAGTATCTCAGCGCGCAGTTCAGGGGCGCGTCGTTGCCCGCCGAGGCGATGCGCTTTGACGGCGCCTTCCCTCCGCGGGGCGGCGGTCCTGCTGGGCTGCTGCACCTCTGCGCGCAGGTGCCTGCGCGGTGTGGCGAGCCTGCGCAGGCGGGCCGCGCCGTCCTGCACGTGGAGTGGCTGCGGCTGCGCTCGACCCACGGGCTGGTGGAGCCCTGGGTGCGCCCGAGCGTCTTCGGCGGCCGTGGCGGTGGAGCTGGTCGAGGCGGTCCCTCTCCCATCCCTGGCGGAGCCGCCGCCGAACGCCTGGCGGCGGCAGCTGCTGCCCGCGCGCTTGCGGTCGGAGGCGGTGGCAGCCGCGGGGTGACAGGCCGCGGCAGGCGTCGGGCTCGCAGTGAGTCTGGCAGCCGCAGTGATGGCGAAGGCGAGCCGCGTTTTCGCGACGCCCCCTCTCGCGGCGGCAGCGCGCGGCTGCTGGCGGAGAGGCAGCCTGGCGCCCTCTACGACGAGGCGATGCAGAACATCGCCCGCGTCATGGGCCTGCGGGAGGGGGCGGACGGTTCCGAGACGAGGCCGAAGGTGGTTGGCTATTTGCAGGCCATCGTGTTCGGCCACCACCCCGTGTCCCAGCTGCGGGTCAACACGGTGCGGGATCTCCAGACCTTGGCGACGGCGCTGGACCAGTTGGAGAGCGGCTCTCTGCCGCAGCTGAGCGACGCGTGCTGATGCAAAGGTTCAAGGCTCTGGAGCTCTCGCTGTCGAACGCGGGCTGGCAGGTTGCGAGCGAGCTCGAGATCGTCCCGGACGTGAGGCCGTCGCTGGCGTCGATGGGCGAGCAGGATCTAGCGCGGCGCTCGGCGCTGCTGAGGAGGCGCTTGGAGGAGGCCAAGAGCCGCGGGGCCTTCGGGGCGCTCGGCCGCGGCCAGGGGCGCGGGTGACCCGAGGGGGGGGGCGCGGGGGGGCCAGCGGCCGCGCTTCCCCTCTCGAGCCGCGCTCCAGCCAGCGCGGGAGCTCTCGCGCGGCAAGGGCAAGGGTCGAGGTCGCGGGCGTTTCCGCTACTTCCCGCTCCGAGGGAGCAGCCCCGCTCACGCTCCAGGGTCGCCAGCGGCAGCGCCTCGGGCCGAGGAGGCACCCGCCGCAGCGCCCTCAGGCCCCCGCGCGCGGACTCCGTCTCCCCAGACGGAGCGGACCCCCCGGGGAGACAGCCCCCACCCGCGCCGAGTTGTGCTAGCGGGGAGCCCCGAGCGCCGCACCTTCAGGCAGGACGAGCCAGCGGCGGCGGCGTCGGCTCCCCAGGGAGCAGGACGCGGTCGCCCGAGACGCCGCGGCGGCAGGGGACGCAACGCAGGGAGGGCCAACGGCTCGCGGCCCCGCCCGCCTGGCGGCCGCGGGACTGGCCCCCCGGCGGCGGCGCGGTGAAAGCCCGCGGTGACGATGCCCTTGCTGATGACGCCCGGGCCGCAGCAGCCGCTTCGTTGCAGGCTGCTGCGCCGTGCGGACCGCCTGGGGCTTCGCCGTCGCGTTCGCTATCTGACCGCTGCGCTGCGACCCCGCTGCAGTTGCCGCCTGCCACTGCTGATGAGAACTCTTCTCGACACGATCCACTGGAGGACTGGAGAGAGCTTACTGGGGCTGCTGGTGACTTGGTCCGTGAGCCTTATGACGTGGGCCCGATCCTTCTCA